AAATCCATGTGTATCCGAGATCATAATTCGGCATCTGACATCGTATTCATATCCGAATATTCAAATTTGAATTTGTATAATATCGATATCAATTTATATCTTATTCAACATAGCTGAGAGCACCTATGAGTCTTTCTTAAACTAAATCTGTGAATAAAAATTACTCTCTGTCTATTTTCACTCTCCAATAGCTTACTATATCTTGTACGCATTTTAGAGAGACAACTTTACTTTTTATTTTTATTTTTGGCTAACAAGAAATTTGGAATAAAAATGATTATATTTGAAGAACTAATTAAAGAAATTGCTAGATGATATTTTTTCACTTAAATCTATATTGTTATATGCATTATTGGTAGGAAAGATATAAAAAAGAAGCTGCATATCGGAATCGCAAACGGAAAAACTAAAAATATTGCACCCATATTATTGTACGTATCTCCTACAACTAAAAAGAATAAAGCGTGTACACTTTTTGGTGCGATATTCCTACGTGTGTCCATCGTCCTGCTTGCTGCGACACCAAACCCACTCGCTGCCAGGCCCGCCCGACGTCAATCACGCTCCTTCCAAATCAGTAACCAGGCAACAAAAATCTCTTGCCCGCTCGTAGCGGTAGCGCTCCCTCCCTCGCCCAAACTTCGGCTCGTCGGTCTGTCTTCGTGCGATCCCCGTGCGGCATCCCATCCCCACGCATGCCCCAGCTGTTCCCGCTGGCCGCCGCCTCCTAGATCCGCCAGTCCGAGCCTCGCCGCGGCTCCCTTTTGAGGACGGCCACACCATGGAGCCCCACACCGCTGCTGCTGGCCGCGAGTGTCGCAGCCGATGCGTGTACATGGACGCAGCACCGAGGCCGTCGTGATCTCTGGCGGCAGCGGGAGGAGTACGACGCCTGCGCCGCCGCGCTGGCCTTGAACATGAAAAACCCTAGGTTTTGGGGCACGCGTGGTTCGTGGAAGTCGGAGGGATTTTTTTTCTGCTGTGATGGCGGAGGGCGGCGGCGATCTGCATGGATGACGAGGCGGCCTGCGCCGCCGCGGAATGCTTGAGGATCGAGAAGCTGGATCCCGCTGCCTAGGAATGACAGCCATGGTGGCGGGCCTCCGCCTCCTGCATCTTCTGCCGGGGCTGGAGCTGTGCCTGCGGTCCGGTGCGCTTAACCTCCTCTCCTCCTCGCAGTACACCTCTACCCTGACTCCATGACGCCGGCCTCAACTCCTTCTGATTTCTCTGCCCCTAAATTCACAAATTTTTGCTTCTTTTGCAGGGCAGATGGGATGGCTCGTTGCTGGCCCCAACTCCTACTGATTCCTTGCGGTACATCTCTACCCTTGTGACCTGTCGGCAAGGTGCTTTCGAAGAGGGGAATGCAGGTGAGGCGACAGTAGATCATAAGATCAAAATCAGGCAAGTATTGGTATGATACTTGAATTATTAGTTTCTGAAATGTCAGTGATTACTTAGTCATAGGATGATTGGAGGAGTAGAGAATGTCGGTCTAAAAATATGGAATATTGGCATAGCTGTATGCCAACAACAAACCTGGTGTCACAACTGAATCTCGAAGAAGTGATAAGGCAAACGAAGAGATTTATTTTCTCTATTGATAACTGCAGTATCATTTTAGGATTGTCCAACACTCTAGATTTTCTTCTGATTTTGACCAAGAGAGCACCGATCTGGCCACAGGAAGACCAAATGTTGAGAATGTAACTGTTCTTTTTGGGTATTGGTGGGGATCTGGTGTTGTGCATTCAAAGGTCTAGATATCAGATAAAAAGGATGTGTACATAGGGTCAGCAAACAATGATTCGAAATCCCTTACTCAGGTGTACCCGACAAAAAAAAAGTTCGGTTTCATTTGAAGTATAGTGCTGAGAAAGCAAGTTGGTTAACCTGTGTGGCACTACTTTTACGTGCATTGCAGATCAAGGAGCTTGGGATCTATTTTCCTGATTGCCCACAAATAGCAAAAACTGTTGACGTATATTTTCAAAATCTATTGACGCTTTCAACCATCAACTCAACTTCTTACACCAAACAATCCTGGGATAAGCAGTGGCAAGTTTCTAGAAAGGTTTCATGCTGGTCTCATTTCCTACAGCCAAAAGAGAGATGCAGGTTTCAGGTTTGCATCTCCCTCTGTAGTTTGCACCTTTACTACTTAGCGCACATATTTGAAGAAAAAAATGGTTACATAAATAGGAATAGATTATGTACAATCTGTCTGTTAGGCTATCTTGTCTGCATTTGTCTTAATTTTGATCCAACTTTGATTATGAAAATGCTCGGTACATACTATCCTTTATATCTTTTTCAGTTGACATCCCATTTGTAGATGTAAATCCTAAAATGATGGGAAAATTGGATCCATACCATTAAAAGATCCTGACTTTGAAAAAATACCATCAAAAGATTTAGCTTTAGAGAAATAGCAGTGAAAGGTTGCTCCATTGTTGATTTCTACCATTTTGTTAACTTGTCGTTCAGTCCGGCCTGGGCTGAGTCAACAACGACGACCATCGACATGAGCGCCACCGTGCTCACCATGGCGCTTAGTGGAGCTTCGCCTACCATTCCTAAATCTGAAATCCAGTTCTAGGCTACCATTCCTAAATCTGAAATCCAGTTCTAGGCTACCATTCCTAAATCCGAGGGTACAGGGAGAGATAGAAGGATGAGGGGTTTCAATTTTGGGGTTCACAGCGTGTGTGTGTGTGGGGGGGGAGCAGGGGAGTATCAACTATCGAGCGCTATTGGCAGCCATGGTTGCGGCTCTGAAGATCGAGAGCAGTTCGGTACAGACAAGGAGAGGAAGGGGCACGGCTTGGAAAAGGTGGAGGAGAGTCTATGGATGCCCATGAGTTATAACGCATCAGTTGAACTTTCTTAAACCTTAGTTATTTATAATAAAATTACAGTTAATTTTACCCATGAGTTATAGGCACTGTCTAGGTGTAATCGTACCCGCTTGTTTGGTTTATGAGCAAGCGCAGCCACGCTATAGTTTAGGTGCGCCATAATTTCTTAAGCTATTGTTGAATTCTCTGCCATAATGCCATCCTTCGGCCCCACTTGTCAATTGATCCATTTCTTTGCCAAACAATACTTATGGTGTGAGTGAATAAATTGTTAGCCACGCATTCTATGAAGTTTGGCAAAGAAATATGGTAACTTTTGGTCATATAATCCAAGCACACCCACGGGTAACGATGGTGTAGTGAAAATTAAGATGCTATAACCTCCTATGAACTTGAACATTTTAGCAATGTCACAATTTTATAGATGGTATTAATTATTTGGCAATCTTATGTTTCAAAATACTGTTCTGGTAACAATTTCCCTTTTTATACGTACATACATACAAACCTTACCATCTTCTATCAACAGGTACAAGATCATCATCGGCCTCGGCTCTGCGCCGCGGTACCTCCACGCGGAGTGGGAGCAGTGTGTAGTGCACGGTGACATCAAGCCAAGCAACATCATGATGGATTCCTCGCTGGACGCCAAGATGGGCGACTTCGGCCTGGCGAGGCTGGTCGACCACGGCGTGAGGCCTGCCACGACGAAGGTGGTGCTAGGCACCGCGGGATACATCGATCCGGAGCTCATCAACACGCACCGCCCCAGCGCCGTGTCGGACGTCTACAACTTCGGTGTCGTCCTCTTGGAGCTCGTCACCGGGCGGCGCCCGGTGGAGGAGCCCGACGACCTGTTCGTGCTGGTGAGGTGGGTGTGGCGCCTGTACAGCAGGAATGCCATCGCCGAGGCGGTGGACGAGAGGTTGTTGAGCCTCCAGGGCGATGATGGCAAGGTGGAGGAGCGGAGGCAGATGGAGCGCGAGCTGGTCGTGGGGCTCTGGTGCGCTCACCCGGACCGCAGCGAATGGTCGTCCATCGCGCGTGCCATGCACGTCCTGCAGTCCACGGCGGATGTGGTGAAGTTGCCGGCGCTGCGGCCGCAGATGTACAGCGGCGACACGTTTCATACCGTAACCATGGGAGGAGATGGCTACAACCATCTGTCTTTCGGGGAGACGTCCACTGGCAGTGACACGTCGACTGGCGGCTGCAATTCTCGTTCAGAGAGCGAATGAAGAGCGAATGATCTAAATGATGAAATTCGATATGTATTTATGCAATGCTTTAGAGGTTGTTTATGATCCATATCACAATCCCACTAAAAATGCTAAAAAGAACACCGAGGGAAAAAAATAAGAATGCGTCAAATAAAAAAGATAAGGATAAGAAGACCCCAATAGTGGATGGAACTTTCACGAAGAATATTGTATTTAAGGAGGTTCTAGCGCCATAGGCAAGGTAACATAATATTACTAACACATACAATGTATTTTTTATTCAATTAAATATTGCACAAATAGTATCTCACTAATGTGATGTCAATGCCATGGACGCGGTGATCGCTCGAACACCGGTATCCACCGACAGCATGCCAGCGAGCGTCATAACGGACATACACAAGATTGGGAGGAACAACAAGGTATGGACAGACCCTGACGAATTCCGTCCGGAGCGGTTCCTCGCGGGTGGCGCGGTGGACACTACTGGCGCTCCCGTATGAAATAGTCATCGAGATCGCCGGGCTTGTCGCCGCGACCTCGCTACACCCGATGGAGGACCTCTGTAGCCTCCGTGGCACGTACGTGTCTGCAATCCATCCACGCATGAGTCGCATTACTTACACATTTAATTTGTCTACCTGTATCGTACGTGTGTCTTTGCAGTTGCTAGACCATGCGCATGATGTGCATGGAGCGCGTCGTGAGGAGCCACGTAGCGCTAGGGCGGGAGGAATCCATGAGGTGGTAAGACCCCGACCGCTACCTCGCCCTCGTCGACAAACTGGCTGCCGCCGGCAACCCGGAGGCCCGCTTCGTGCTCGGTCTCAGGCTCATCTTTACACAGGGCCGCACGGACCCCGTCGGCACTGCCTGCCTCAGACAGGCAGCCACCGCTGACCACAAGGTGGTGGCCTACATGCTCGGCGTCCTCCTCTACGGGCACAATGAGGCCGAGCAGTACATCAGGAAGGTGGAGGGCGAGGACGTCGCCCACGGGTGCAAGCTGGAGGCTAGCAGGACCAACCAGAAGTGCGTGAGGTGCCGCGAGCAAGCTGTCAACGCGGTTTGGGAGGTGTTATGGAGGGTGGACGGAACGATGGACCCGATGCCGGTACCGCCGCCAGAGGTAGGTTGCAAGGGCAGCGGCTGCGGCGTGGCGGAAGGATGGACCGGCGGCTGCGCTGTCTTTTGTAGCGACGGCTGCAGGATTAGGCATGAGTACTTCGAGTTCTATATATCGCTGATCGTGAATCTTGCTACAGACACTTAAGTGGATATCTTATTCTACAGTATATGTCTACGTGGAATAGACCAAAAGCCACACATATTTATACGGTGAGTATAACACTTTGTTTTAAGTTTTGTGGAAGATTTTTCAAGACACAGTATTACCCATGCGACAGACACTAATATTGACATATATACTCAAGCCTGTGTACAGGATGGCATGGAGAGATGTGGCGGAACTTATTCGTGGATTTATTGGCGCACGAAAGAAATTGATATCGGAGATTTCTTCCTCGTCGATATAAAACATTATCTTAGGCGCATCACAGAAATGTCTATAAAGTAGAGTTTGTAAGCCTATGACGCCGTGCTCTCCGTGACTGTTAATTTCACAAACTTTTTTTTGATTAACCGTAAATTTAATATTGATATTTAATTTTTAGAGTATTGTTAACTGTGTTTTTAAGCATAAATCGATAGCTGTCCGTAGCAGCACGCTACCTAGTATTCATATATGCGGAAGCCGTTTGCACCCTGCCTCGGGCGAACAGAACAGACCCCGGCTCCGACTCCTCCCCGCGTGCTTTCTTCTCCCTATATACTGCCTACGCCGCCGCCAGATGCGTAGGTCTTCGTCGGCTCCTTCTACTTCTCCGGCAACGAGCACCCAGCAGGTATGCCCGCCCCTTCCTGCTGTGCGAAACCGAGCAGCATTCGAAGCCTAAGCTAAGCTGTTTGGCTATTTGCAATCGGACCTCATCTAATTGCGAGTGTATATATACGTGATGAATTATGCCTACTAACTTCGATTTTCTTTGTTGCAAAAAGAAAAAGTATCGATCGGGTGTCCTTTACTGGGTGCTAGAACTAGAAGAATCCTCTGCTTGGCTCCAACTTGGAAGGGGGAGGCGAGGGATGGGGTCCCTGCTTTGCTGCCTGCGGTACCCGGAGGACGGCTCGGCAGCGCCGCCCGTGTGCTGTTTCTGCCTACCATGGCCTTTCCCTTACCATGGCGTCGACTCGGTATGCTTCTACCACTGCTATAGTATAATAATATAGTGTCTGTCAATCGTCTTCGTCCTTCTGCCATTGCTAAAAGTTGTTGACTTGTTTTCATCTACCGTTTTGGGTGTTAGCGTGTTGCGGCGGTAACTACTTAATGAATCTGTGCATGTGTGTTTGTGTTATTCTGATGATGGCTCATGGATCCTGCAAAATACGTGTTAGGATTTGGGGATCCATGCGGGCACTGCCAGAGGGTGAGAGGGACAGAGGGTATTCGTCTCTGTGTTCTTGGCTCTTGCATGCATTAGGCTGTTTCTGAGATCACATTGGTGCAAAGTTGGACTCCATGGTGTTTAAGGTTACAGAATTGGATGGAGCAATATTGATTTGTCACACTAACAGTAGAAGGAAGGTTAATTGTTGTTAGTTTTTAATAATTGCTATGTGAAGTATCATAATCTGCATGGAGCTCATCCATTTTTTTTACTGATGTCTGACTTTGGCAATTACTCCAAATTTTGGGATCTGTTTTTATAACTTTGAGCTCAAATGGCTTATTTTAGAAATTTAAGCTCGCACAACTTGCTGCATGTTCTGGAGTTTTTGGTCTCAGTATAATGGATTTGTATCATTCTGTCATCTCTGTTTGTTCTGTTCACATACGTTTTCTGCACTCTCTTCTAATTGCTTCCTTCCCATCCCAGGGCTCTGCTGCTCGTCACAGAGGTGATACACGTGTGGCACCTGATTGCGGAAGGATTCCCCTTGCAGCTTGCACCTCTGCAAATCAAGTGGACTCATTGGATACTTTCCGTCCCCCTCCATGGCCTTTGCCTTACAATGATCCTCAATTCAGCGCTCGCATGGTGCAGCACCCAACAGTGTCAGGACATGACAAGGCATCAACGCATATCCAGAAACCAGAACAACCTACAGAAAGTAAGAATGCTGATGCTGGATCAACTTGCACAGCCCATAAGGTTTCTGAGACATCAGCAAAACAGCACTCAGGAGGTTCGAGAATTGATGGAATACAATTCTGTGATTCTTCTGACAATGAGGATGACTGTCCGATATGCCTAGAAGGTTGGTGGAAACAACTGACACTGCTCTCTCCTATTCACAAATTGTCTTTTCTTTCAACATATATATACTGCCTTTATAAGTTACAGATTTTAAGTGTCTAGCATGCATGAATAAAAAGTTAAACAGTTAAAAATCTTGTAGCTGCATGTTGTTGCACATGGAAATACATGTTCATTCATTTGATTCATTCTAAATATATGGGCATGCCTAAGTGCTCAGTTATGATGGTTTGTTAGATTATTATATTTGCTTCCATGTCAATCAATATATATAAAAGTAAAAACATGTAAGGTGGTTTGAGCTTGCAAAAGGGGAAGTAGCTATGTCCTAGTTATCATGCTTGTCATTATAGTTTATGCACAACACCATACATTTGTGATTTCAGTATTTCTTGTGTTCTGAATCGTATACTTATTTGTCCACAGAATATGATGATGAGAATCCGAAGATTGCATTGCAATGCAACCATAATTTCCATCTTAGTTGCATTTATGAGTGGATGGAAAGAAGTGAAGCTTGCCCTGTCTGTGCAAAGGTACCTAGTTTTTTTTTCCAGAAATTATTTCACTTGAGAAGTGAAATATTACTTGGTACTTTATCAACATGGTTCTTTTAAACAGTCTGAAAACAATTTTAAGAAATAGATCTCTAACGTCATAATGTTCTGCTGCAGATTATGTTGTTCAATGAGGATAAATGACCCCGTTGATGGAAGTCTTCACAGACGGCAAGTGGAAGACCCAAGCTAAATCCTGTGTGTTGTGTACATAGCGTTGATGAAATCATGAAATACAGCCTAGATCGTTTGCTGAAACTTCCAGCAGTGCGAAAATTCATTTTTTTTCTTCTTTATAGAGTAGATTATTCCTTTTCTTAATGACAAAGTTGATGGTTTGTGCCACACTTTACATTTTTTCTTGATGTTAACGACCACGGGGGTGTGCTTACATCAGGTTTTCATGCTGAAATCTCAGGTTCTGGAAACCTCAGTTTTCGGTTGAAGTTCAAATTGAATTAACAAGAAATAGACTAGTGGACAATAGTGGGGCCCCTCGGCAATGATTTTTTGGAGGATCTGTCAGAAGGATTTGAACAAAATGTCAAAGATCAAATTTAAAGCTTTGACTATATTAACATGGCAGAAAAATTTCCAGGTTAAATGGTATTGGACCAGAAAGTTTGCGGAATATTTAGTCCAAATGATAACAATCAATTTAAATGCAGTTGTGTATGCTAGTTTTTATTTTCCTTTCAAATATCAAATCTGAATTTTGCTGTTGTCTGATATCTTGCACACATTCCATCAAATCAAATATAAATACAGACTGGCCTCTGTTTATGAGGCATTCTAACCCATATGCCATATCCAATCACCTAGAATTTTATTCAAAAGTGAACATCCACACCATCTTCACCACTAATTATTATACCACATCAAAACTATGGAAATACAACTAGTTCCACATATTTTTTTCGCAAACCAACGTGGAACTTTATTGTTAAATTCTGCTCTTATTCCTTTTGAACATATGGAAGACTACTAGAGGAGCTCCTTTGAAATACCATTAAGCTCCATCTTTTGCAGCCATCTCAAACGCCCTCATGAATACATTTGGAGGCTGGCCACCACTGAGTTGATATTTATTATTGATCTGAAAGATGGTGAAGTGAATAGCAAATGGATAAATTTCTTATACATGGGACGGATAAAAGATGATAAATATCATCATCATCAATAAATCCTCATACCACAAAGTGTGGGACCCCAGAGATGCCAGATGAATACTTCTTGAGTTCTTCCTGAACGTTTTGGCAACAAATAGGATTTGTGAGCCTGTCATGACAGAAATATGGCTCCAGGAACAGAATTAACTGGAAAACATACCTCATCGACTCCTTTGGTAGGGTCTTCAAGCAGTTCTTCGGCCCCTTCTATGCCCACCTTTCTTGCAGCATACAACAAAACCTGCCTGCAATGCATGAAATAATTTAGTTAGATGGCTCAGACATTAATAGAGAAAAAAAACCACTCCAACATAAAAGGATGCAACTTGCAAAATATATTCTTAATTTGTATTGGGCTTGAGGAAACCTAAGATAAAGAATTTCAAACATAGAATGCTCTGAAACTATTGACAGCTAGCACCTTAACAGTGGTCCATCCATAATTTACAAGTTTGGTACTATCTCCTCTCTTCATAATAAAATGATACACAGTTCTCTGCGTGTTCGAGAAAAAAAAAATTTGATGCATACTCACTTGTCACCAATATACTTTCCTTGGCAAAAGTAATTGAGGAATAATTCGTCAACAAGAGCATTTTGCTTGTCATAGCCTTGGTGTCCAGCAAGTGTTATGAGCCTGACTATCCATTGTATTCCCTCTGGATCAAAATCTTTACATCAGCACACTAATAAATGATGCTGCATGGCATGAATGTAAACCACAGCTTCAAAACCATGTACTTACGTGAGCCCCGACATGTCATATTCAAGCCCGAGTCCTCGAAATACCTGAAACACGAGCACATGCACGTCAAATAGGAGAGCAGCTCTAAATACATTTTGCGTGAAGCAAACAAATTCTACCATAGGCAAGTTCACAGGAAGAAACCTCAGTCATGCGAGAAATTGCACGCTCATATTGAACAGGACCGAACTTTGCCTTGAAGAAGTCAGATTTCCTGACGCCCTCCTTAGGCGCATCAGGGTTCAGAAAGAATGGATGCCAACGGACCTGCCAGGCTGCCAAGGCACCAAGCAAGCAGATGGACACCAGAGTTAGCACTGCATAAACAAGAATTCTGAAACTGGATCATGATGGGGATTTGAAGAAGGGAGTGAAACCTCGAAATCAAACTTGTCCTTGCTTTGCTCCATTGCTTTCTCAAGGTTCTTTTTACCGACAAAACACCAAGGGCACACTGTATCCGAGCTCACATCGATCTGAATGAGCTTCTTGCCAGTGTCTGAAGCCATGAATTTTGCACACCTACAGTTTTCGGCAGCAAAGATTCAAATTGGTCAGTGATGGGGATTTATATGCTTGTTAGTCATTCCTTTGCACATTAGTCAGTGTAGCTGAGAGGTTTAGATGAAACAATTTCCATGACACCGAGAGGCATGCTCCCTTTCCAGAAAGGAAGTGTATCATAATCAGTCCATTCTATTTCCAGGAAAAGAACCACCTCATCCATAAATATAATATGTTGTTCATGCTGATGGTTCACCCACCTAAACTCAGTTTACTCCCATGATTTGGCCAAGATGACCATACCCTCAATTTATTTCAACCAGTGTTATCGAGAAAAGATTTGTTTTTTTTACTAGGCAACACAATGTATTTCCCAAACCTAGAAAGTGTGTCAAATTCGAATTAGAATCAAATTGTTCTTCTAACAAAAAAAAAAGAAAAGCGGTAGCCCTCCATGATTAAATCAACATGACCGCAAATAACTGCGCTCTATCTTTTCCCAGAATAGTGCGAGTGCGATACAATCGCCAGCTCCTGAAGCAAAGGCGCCTAACTAATTAGCACAAACGACGATTAGTAGATTGAGGAAACAAAGAACCGAACCTGGGAGCGCCGAGTTTCGCGAGGGACGGGATGCGGACGGAGAGCAGGCGACCTGGCATACACAAGCACGCACGGGGAAATCCTTCGTTTTCCTCCACAGCTTTCGCCGCTAGAGATTTATGTCAACCCTTTTATCTATCAGCGTTCTTCCCTCGTGTAGTTCGTGGAAGGATGGAGAAGCAGTCGCCGAATTTTGGTTGGTAGGCGCTGGTGGTCTCGGTTCACGCTCCCGTGCTCTCATCAACCTGCCAACCTCCCCTGGACCCGGTTCACGGTAGGCACGTGAGCCGCTCTGTCTCTCTCTCTGCCGTCTGCCGTTCCTGTCCATCCTTCCAAGGACCTCCTCGGGAGTTCCAGAAAAATCCGGTGGTCGGTGCCCACGGACAAGCGTGTGCGCCACGAGCCCGACGAACAAGGGAACGAGGCCATTTCCACCGGTCAAACTAAGCAAAGCTCCCACCTTTAGCAGAATCCGCCCAAAAGGCTGCACCGCGCTTCGGCCTCGTTCCATCTCTCCAGGTGAGCACTGGATGGAACCTCTGCTCGGATTTCTGCGGCGTGGTGTTTTTCTTGCGCTAATCGATTGCTAGACTAGATGGTCGCCTGACTGAATTTGAGGAAACAGAGGTTGGGGAAATTGAGGACCTCGGTAGGTAGAGGGATAGATTAGCTCTTTCCCCAATTTCGAATCACGGATAGGCTTCAATTTAAGCTATTGTTCACTTTATCTGGATTCCTTAACCAGTTACGTGGCCCGGTGGGCATTTTGTGGACTATTGGGGGGAATGGTTCTCGATACCTTAAGCTTGTTCTTCCTGCAGCTGCCTGTTTACCCTATGTAGTGCTGCGGTTGCAGTCTTTCACACGTTGCGACCTTGTTACTAAGGGTGATTTAGTTTTCAGCTTCAATTTGCTCTGTTTGCAAAACTCAACAAATGTGGCTTGGGTATCTTTCAGAAAACATAGCTGTGTTGTGATTTAGGGCGACATTTGCTCATCCTACCAAATTTGCTGCATCAAACTGCTTATTTGATGGCGTAATTGTTCAGTTCCAAAGGGTGCTTTTGTTCTCTATACGATCTACTGTAGGATTAGCAGGCTGGATGGTCCCATTAATTACAATTTTATCTTTTGATGAACATATTAGTTGTTAATGAGAACATGAAAGAGGAAATGAACACCCCTTACTGCTTTGAATGGAAACAGTCAGGCATCAAAGCTTGGATTTTTTTTTTTGGCCGAACTGCTTTGTTTTGTCAATTTTTGGCCTGATGGTATCAACAGACTCACATGCACTGTTCTGTCTCTTTGTTTATTGGTTTAATGGTTGCACTGCTCTGCTTGTTTGTTGACGCGCTTGTCTTTTATTCATCATAATCAACCAGGGCCATGGATGTAGATGATGTGCTCAGTAACCTGCGTGTTGTTGGTGTGCCAACAAAGAGCGCAATTTACATATGGGGTTATAACCACAGTGGCCAGACTGCCCGAAAGGGCAAGGAGTGCCACTTGAGGATCCCCAAGAGCCTCCCTCCCAAACTATTCAAATTGGGGAATGGGAAGAGCCTCAGGTGGACTGATATTGCCTGTGGCCGTGAGCACACTGCTGCAGTTGCTTCTGATGGATCACTGTTCACATGGGGTAAGTCCTGCACAGTTCATTAGATTGCCAAATAAATTTAATATAGTTTAGATGAGAGAAGTAGAACCTTAATTGCAATATTGTACTGAGAGATGCCATAGTTGAATTACTATATTTCTTTATTTTGCTGTTGTACCTGGAGATAACCTTCTCTGGTAGTGAAAGAGCTATTTCTCTGTTCATGTGTACTTGGTGCATTCACATTTCTTAGAAATTGTTTTGTCATGCTTCTTTTTTCAATTATGTTAGTAACAAGATCCAAGTAACTGCACTACTATTGTTTTTCTGAAGGCACATCTTATTGAGCACTGAGATTTAATTTGGCTTCACTCAATGAGCAATTGAGCACTAGAGTTTGATGCACCCTTCTATTGGAGTGCTAATTCTACTGGCTCAAAAGATCTGAACTACTGACTCTTTGCCGCTGGACATAGATCAATAATCGCTGTTTGGCAATTGGGACTGTATGGTTTAATGCAAA